CACAGCTTGAGTATCCATTCATTCCTGAGCTTGGTGACATTCTTGAGTCATTTCCATTCCAGGGGTAATTGGTCATTTTATAATTCTAGAATATTTCAATCATTTCCTTCCATCCGGTCTTATTATTTAATTCAATCTTATCATTTACTTCAGTCCTTTCGAACAATTCTGTCAGCAGAATACCTCCGATAAATTACTCTTCAAGTATTTACTCCTTATTCGAATATTTTCGAGTCAAGTGTCTTCTCAGATTTTACAAACGGAATATTATAAATTTTTCTGTACAAGACAGATCTTAACAATTAAATTCGTACTTAATCGAGTTAAGTACAAATCCTCAAAGTACTTTCTCATTCAGGGTCAAATCAGACTATTTTATCTCTCAAGGGCATTTTTGTAATTTCTTAACCGGATAATTTCAATATGTCTTTTCAGAGTTATTAACCAACTTCCAGGGCAATTCTTATCATTTTCCAACATAAGGGTAATTTCGTAATTTTACCATATCGGAGTATTCTCATAATTTTTCATCCAAGTATCTTTAACATTTAACCCTTGTGATATAAATATAAGTTACAAATCCAAGCTGATTTCTTTATCACCAATCACAAACTTGTAATTTAATTCTAACAATTATCAATCTCTTATCTTAGTCATCGATCCGTATTCCGTTACAGAATTTCTACCACATTCATATCGATGAATAAATTATTCAACTCCACAAAGTGACCAACATTATCTTATTCATGCATTTACCAATATCAACATGTTCCATAAAGCATAAAGAGGTAGTAAGTATTACCTCGATTTCCGTGCAATACTGATCGACCATAAAAATTCCATTCGAACGCCTTTGATCTTCAATTCAACTTCCAATAATTCCTCAGATACATATCAACATAAATTATATCAAAACAAAGCTTAATTACGATAAACGGATCGAATCGGGTGATAAATCAGTGAAAGACGGCTTACCGGTTCGAATTTGGCGAAACAGACTTCGGATTTGGATTCAGGACGTCGAAAGCATAAAATATGACTTTTCGGAAATTTGGAATTTTCGGTCAAAATCAAAGTCAACGGGTTTGACTGACAATTTCGAGGCCTTCGGGTTCGAATTTCGAAAAACGGACAGCGGAATCGGATTTGGAACGTCGAAAAATGTCAGGATAGGTATACTCGTCAAAGTCAAAGGTCGTTTAATGCCCGGTCAAAGCCAGTCAAAGTTTTGGTCAACAGTAGTCAACGGTCGTCAACGGGTCAACGGGTCGGGTCAACGAGTCGAGTCAGGTCAACGGGTCGGATAAACGGGTCGGGTCGGGTAAACGGGTCGGGTTGTGACCGGTCAAACCGGTCAAAACAGTTCCAAAACCGGTCAAACCGGTCACTTTTCCCTTCCCCACGCGCAGTGCGGCGCGTGGGGGCGCGTGAACAGTGATAAAATCCCGGAAAAATTTCTAAAATTATTTTGAGCGATTTCGAGATACTTACAAAGCTCGGTTCACAATTTTGAACGGCGGAGAGCTCGATTTCAACAAATCGGGAAGTTTGACCGTTCACCTCCCAACGCGCCGCCGCCGCCGGAGAAAAAGGACACCGGTGGACTCGGAACGGCACAAGGAACACGATGGTGCGGGAGGTGTCGTAAACGGATGACCCGATCGTCGTGAATCGATGAAAAACCAACTAAAACCGAGTTATTACCGACGATACTTCCGACTGAAATTCACGACGAACGGCGATGATTCACGATGAAAGGTTTGAGGGTTTTGTTCCTCGGTTCACAACGAACACGATGGTTGTTTTCGGCTCGTCGTTTGGAGGTCGGACGGCGAGTAGATCGGAGTTGGAAGTTGGGTTGCTGGAGAAGGAAATCTGGAAAATTTCTGCTGCCTGCGCACGAGAATCAGATTTATAATTCAACATATTAAAAAAATGGTTAAATCATGGGTTTAGCCACTGAACTTTCTGCACTTCTGAAAACGGTTTGCCAACTTTAGAACTTTACAATTTAATCCCCTGTTTCTTTCAAAATACCAAATTAAATCCACCAATTTATATTTCTTAAATTTAGCCCCTAAATTGGGGTGTTACAAACATGTTAACTAAATGTCCGTCTTAACTAATGGAACTTATGCAATAACGAAGAGCTTATGCAATAATGAAGACTACATACATCAATTGAGCACACTTTAGATTTTCTAAAATGCTAACAAGAAGTTATAAATAGCTCATGATGCAGCACTTGAGAACCCAACTGAAGCCTGAAGTCTGAAGATATTGGCACAAAAAGATAGTTAGATCTTGAAATACTTACAGCAAAAGAGCATCAGAGAAAATGCTTGTTCAAGTTTATCCAAGCAGTGTACTTGGTTGGTAAAAGAAACAGAAGCAATTGCTACCGATTGCTGCCGAAAAGCTCAAGAAGCAAAAGCAATTGATGCCGAAGCGCTCCATAGAGGTGTTGGAGCCTTCAATTAGGTTTGTTGTTCGCGTTGTTTTTTAATATAAAATGACGAAAATATCATGGGGACTCATGTGAAAGTCACATGCCGTCCCCGAAACATCCCCAGGACTCGATAAAACGTCCCCAATGTCGTTCAACCATACCCTGCCACCGTGGTACCGTACCGAGGACGGGTACTTGAAACGGCAAAGTTGCCGTCCCCGTGCTTCCTAGACTCAGTATCCGCCATTGATCCACCCATTGATTCACAACAAACCCATCGTTGTTCTTCACCTTGTTCATCACTTGGTGTCCGAGAATCTCATCTAAATGACTAAATCGGGTCCATTTTCTTCTCTGTCGACGGTTTTACTCTCTTCACCACCCACGAGAACTTGTATCCGCTCAGGACCAGCCCTTTTCCGAGCTCCCTTATTTGCTCTTTAGACATCGCTGTCCTACTCCCGAAGCTGACATCAACGACGGAGCTTTCCCTTTGGTTCTCAAGCCACTCCGATGGCGCAAAGAAGATTACCCCTAGAATTCCAATGGCAGAAGAGGTCCAAGAGGGAAAATTTTCGGCAACCCTTTGTTGAAAGCATCTCTAGTGTCTCTTTTTCGAGTTCTTCAAACGTTGATCAAAACACCATCGGAACGCTTGATGCATTTACCGTTTTCCGATAAATCCTTCGCCAAGAAACTCTCCGTATCCAGAAGCGGCGAAGGAAGCAACGCCTTGGGAATCGACGAAGGGACGGAGGGGAAACAAGACGAGTGACAACATCCGAGCCGACGCAGTGAAGAGTGTGAATTAGGAAGACGGATATTTTCAGTCACTGAGATCACGGAAGACAACGTCACATCGGTGACGATAAACGAGAGCGGCGGAGACGACGAGGACAGGAGATGGGAAAGCAAAGCGTCATGAACATGGGAGGCGATAGCATCAGAGTTAGACATTGTTAGGTAAAAAGCTCCAAGATGGGTGTGATGATCTTTTTCTTATGCTATGGAGTTTGGTAGTTGGATGAAGGTTAGGTAGGACGTGCGATGCATACTTTTTAAAGATAAAATAAAAGGTAAATTACATAAATCTTATAATAAACTTTAATTGATGTATCATTTATATAAATAAGTTTTTTTTTATTATTTTAAGGTAAAAAAAATATAATTTTTGTTCCCGTAGTAGATTAATTTATTATTATTATTTATCCTTTATCGTATTTTCGCATCAATTTAGTCCTCGAAATTACTTACATCATTTTATCTTACCATTAACTTAAAATCTTAAATTATAAACTATAACCTCTAAACCATAACCTCATAACCTCTAAATCATAAATCCTAAACCTAAATCATACTCACAATTTACAATTTAGGGTTTATGTTGGGATATGAAATAGAAGGATGTAATTAAACAACTTTAATAACTAAATTGGTGCGAAATACAATATGAACGAAAATAATAAACTGAGCCTACTATAAGGATAACCCTTAAACATTATTTTAATTATAATGTTAAATTGATTTTTATTTTAATTATAAAAAAAGGTGGAATAATTTAGTAACGGTGTAATAGTGATTGAAAAACAACAAATGTTTTTAACAGAGTCAACCAATGTCTTTGGAATGGAAAATCAAGCACACAACCAATAAACCAACATAAAATATTGGGTAAACTATGCATTTAATATCTAAACTATTAGTTTTGGTTCATTTTAGTGTTTAAACTTTTAAAAATTTTAAAATCATACCTAACGTTTAGTTTTTGTTTTATTTTATTATCCCGCTGTTAAAAACTTAACGCGTGTAGTGCCTAAACTATAAGTTTTGATCTGTTTTTAGTACATAAACTTTCAAATATTTTTCAAAACATAACATTAAATTTTGAACAGAAGTACTAAAATAAACAAAACTAAATTTTATGTATGGTTTCGAAAAATTGAAAGTTTAAGTATTAAAATCGGCCAAAACTAGTAGTTTAAATATTAAACGCATAATTTACCCTAAATTATAAGTATTTAAAATACTCCATATTTATAAGCATTTTGTAAACTCATAATTTATTATTTTTTTGTAGATGGTGGTCGTTCGGTCTCAAATTTCATGGGTGTCTCGTCTCGACAACTTGAGTTCAAATCTGACCTCCATTTTTTCAGAACTTGCTTTGAAGTCCACGAATTAGAGAATAAAAGTGAGGAAGCCGAAACATTTGAATCGAGATTCACGGATTTTGAGACATTTTCGATTAAACAACCACCAAATTTGGACTAAGGGGTCGAGACGAATCGACCCATGAATTTTGAGATCGAACGACCACCATCAACGACAATAGATGGTGGTCGGAATGAAAAATGATACGGTGGTTGGCAACAACAACTGGTCACCTTATTTTCAAAGAAGTGGATTCGAAACGTCATTTTGATGTATATTTGAATTTTTCAAAACACATCATTTTGATACATGTGTTATGGCATCACAATGTTAGAGAGTTACGACAGAGTGAACAAAATGATTTAATATGTAAAGTTCAGTGAACAAAATAGAACAATTGAAAGTACAGTGAATAAAACAAGAGAAAAAATAAAATTCAATGAGAGACAATGTACTTTACCCTTTTAACTTAAAACTTTTTTGCACCTCAAATATTATGAAGATAAGCAGTAACTAGCATACATACCAACAATAACTACAGATCCAAAAGAAGAAAAGGGCAAAACCCGAACCACGTCCTCGATTATACAAAAAACTAAGGTAAATTACATTAGATGCCATTAAACTTTAGGCAATCTATAATTTATATCACTAAATATTCAATTTCACCAATTATAATATCCAATTATGTCACTGGAGCGTTAAAATCCAAATGGTATGATGACATGGACAAAACAAAATCATTTTGATGTAGCTGGTCTAAGATGACATCATTTTAGATACTAAACTTTAAGAATGTATCAATTTTGTCACTAAAACTTTTAAACAATTCACTTTATACCAAACTTTATGAATAATTATTATCATGGACGAAGCTAGGATCAAAGATTTGAAAGAATCACTTTATTTAACTTTAAAAACGATCTACTAAATATTAAAACCTAAAAACTAGAGGGAAAGATTTAAATTAAATATTTTTTATTAATATGCGACGAGTACAATGCATTATATGTTCAAATATAATTCTCAACTATTTGAGATTGAACGCTCACACCCTTGACATTCTCGGTGCTCGAACCCGAAATCTTAATAAATTACAACAATTTCTTTACCACTGAGGTTGTTGGTTAGTGTGATTTAAATTAATAAGATTTAAAGTACAAGGGACCAAAACTACCATTAGACCAAAAACATTTGAGTGGCCCAGTGCCCTCCCGTGATGCATGGAGATCCATCTCTGATCCAACAGGCCTGAATTTGAAGACATTTTTACCAAGCCTACGTGAAAAATTCATAGAAAAATATTTCAAACCACACTATTTAGTTAAAAAAAAGTACAAATTTCAAGAGTGTGTACTAACCATTATATCAAACACTTGGAATGCATTCCCGAGATCGTCGTCGACCGAACGAATTCCGACTTCTGCTAAGCTCTCGGATGCGAAAAACAGGCAAAGATAGATGTGCCCCAAAGGGGTGACCTGAGAACACAAGCCATTGCTTTGCTGCATAGCATTCAGCACTCCCTGTGTTCTTAGGCGGCACCCCTCTGGGGTAAACCATCTTGTGCTGGATGGATTTGGCCTTTGCGATGATTCATTGTGCCTTTTAATACGAAGAGAGAGTGTTGGCATGGTCACATGGTGTGCTCATCTTGCTGATTGATGTCAAATAGATGTCGACATCCTTTGTTATCAAACATTGTTGGCCTGAATTGGACAAAATCATTTGTCCATCTAGCTCAGTTGGTAGAGTACAAGGCTCATAACCTTATGGTCGTGGGATTGAGTCTCACCGAGGGCAATTTATAACGGAGGTCTTTTACGAAAGTTGTTCTTAACCTGACATTGAAAGTAGCTTACTACCCTACCTCCCCTTACCTCATTACATTAGAAATATAGTCAATTAATTTTATAAGTCGATATGTTCATACCGATAGCGTCAAGAAAAACAACAGTTCTAATACAATTAGATTCATCAAAGTAGAACTAAAATAGATTAATTTTCGACAAAGCCCATTTAACCAAAGAATGTACTACCCTATCAATCTCACGGTTGGCAAAAAACACACACTAAAAGATCTGGATTGCTCGCGAATATTACGCGAGCCTCGTTAAGCATAAGCACCACTTCCAGTCATATACTCAATGACATGACACTTTAAATATGATGTTTGAAGTTTAAAAATTATTAAATTCGTTTCTTCTTCTTCTTCTACGTCGTGCGTGAGTGAGAAGGAGGCAGAAGCAGAAACGCAGAGCAAAATTAGGGGAAAAAAAAAGGTTTTTTTCTTAAAATTTGTCCCTTCCCTTCTTTATTTTTTTCATGTTCTTAAATTTACTTTGCTTGCTAGTTTGATTCCTACCAAAAATACCAACAACAAAAAAAGCTTACTTTGCTGCTGCATGTTACGCCAAAAGAAAAGCCAGAAGCAATTAATGCAAGATGAACAGGTACTCTACTTACTTGAATATAATTTCTCTTCAAAGTGAAATATTTTTTCTGATTTTGTTTGATTTTGAGTTTGGGCAATGAAATTTGAGGGAAAATCTGAAGTTTGATTTTGAGTTTGCTGCTGGGATTAGCTCCTTGTTTATGCTTTATGGTCTGCTCTTTCTTATTTCATTTTCTTTGCTCTTAATAGGTTTATTCTTGGAGAAAAAGCGACATACCAAGTAGATTATGTTGGCTGGTAATAGATTGCAGCATAGGTTGGCTTGTTGTTATTGTAGGCTGTACTCTCTGCCTTCCCATCTTCATCATTTTCGAAGCTTCTCTCTTTGGTCAATGAAGAAAGACCCGGATCTTGAATCAGCTCTTTCGAGAAATCGCCGCTGGATAGTCGATAATGAGATTAAAAACATAATACTTAGATGCCCAAACCAGGTGGCACCTTTGAAGCATCTTCAGAAGAAGTTTAAGAGTCTTGATCTTCAAGGGAAAGCTCTCAATTGGCTCAAGAAGTATCCCTGTTGCTTCGAAGTTTATCTCGAGAATGATGAGTATCATTGTAGTTAACAAAAGAGATCATGCATTTGGTCGAAGAGGAAGAATCAGTGAAAGATATGCAGGAGCCGATATTTGTACAGAAAATGGCAAAGTTGTTAATGACGAGCATCAATCAAAGGATTAATGTTACAAAACTTAATGAGCTCAAACACAGCTTTGGATTTCCAGATGACTACATCATAAGAATCTTGCTGAAGCACCCAGAAATGTTTCACTGGTTAATAAAGGTTGGAGGAAGAGTTCAATGGAAATCGAACTTCTGGCGTGGAACTCTGATTTAGCAGTCTCTGCTGTCGAAGCCTCAGCCCGGAAACAAGGAATAGAGCCTTGTTTATTGTGTTCGTTATCTTCAACTTGGATCAAATCACAACAGAGGTTTGAAGAATTTAATGCAATTCCCTACGTCTCACCTTATTTAAATCCTAGGGTTTAGAAGAAGGAACAAATGGAGAAGAGAATTGTGGGTACTGTGCATGAGTTGTTGTCATTGACATTGTGGAAGAAGCTATCAATTGTAAAGCTAAGCCATTTCAAGAAAGAGTTTGCTTTACCTGAGAAATTGAATGTTTTGTAGCTCAAGCACCCCGGCATCTTTTACGTGTCGAACAACTATCAGATTACACCGTGCTCCTTAGAGAAGCTTATGATGGGTCTGAATTGGTTGACAAAGATCCACTCGTCATCGTGAAGAATAAATTCGGCGAATTGATGCAAGAAGGGCTTCAAGAATATAACCAGAGGTGCCTCTTAGTAAATTTGGAAAAGAAGAAGAAAGGCATGAATTTGATGAAGTCGGAAAGAAGGAAAGTTGGAAATGCTGAAAATTCTGACCAAGATGACAATGGTTGAGTTCAAATGGGGTTGTACTGCATCTTCACTTGGGCTCATATCTAGTACTTCCATCTTATTAACAATTTAAATGGTTGAGCTCTCTACTTATGTCTTATGCTTGTTTCTTTACTTTTGATCTACTAATATTTAATGAAGACATGAAAGTGTTTTTCTACCTTGTAAAGTGCATCGTGCAGAAGATGACTTGGACTCGTTATTCTACATATTTGTTACATTCAGCAGCAGATGCATGTCCTTGGAACCTCTCCCCTTTTTCTAATTATATTTGCCTTTTCCTTTGCTTTAAGTTCACCATTTATCTGGCTTGCCTCTGCCTGTGCTCTTGCTCCATCTGCTCTGCTTGTTTGATATACTCCATTTTTTCTTAAATTTTAGTAAGGCTCATGCTGTTTTTCGCTCCAATCCTCTCTGATGCTCCAAGAAATAAGCTCTTAGCTTCTAAGAAATAGTTTGAATCGAGTAAAGGAAAACAAGCCTCACCTCTACTCTGTCCAGCTTGTCTTTGGCTTTCTTCTTCTTTTCCTCCCGGGCAAGTATAAATATAATGGCAGGCTCGTCAGTTCTTCCTGCAGTCCCAGGTTTAATGGCAGGATGCTCGGGTTTTAATGCTGCACTTTCTATTTGGCCGGAAAGCATATCAGGTTTAGAGGAACTTCTCGGTTTTGTAATGCTAGTGCTGCCCAAGTGATCAGCAAAGGTAAGGGATTTTCTGAACGACGAGCACGTCTAAATTCCTTCTCATCCGTACCATCAGTTGCTGACATTTTGCTCTCTGCACTTTCTGAACCTTTTCCCGATCCTTCACCTATTATTTTTTTGGTTAAGCAGCAGCAGCAGAAACTAGAAGTTCATGATCATCTTAAAACATGGATATCAGGATTCAATTTCTCATGCTTTGGGTCTTTACCTAAGAATCGTTCGGTTATATGACAGGTTCCAATATTGAAGATGACTTATCTTCCTTTCTGCTCTTATCTCTTTGATCAATGAGGGTTTCACTGCTCTGTTTCTGATCTTGAATGCTTGGTTTTGCAATCGAGCTGACAGCATATATAGCAGCTGCCACTGCAAATACTTGGTCCGGTTTATGGTCTGAATCATCATTAGAACTCATCATCTTACCAGAAAACAGTCTCCGAAACCAGTTCTGGGTTTTCTTCTCAGCAAAATCCAAAATTAAGGTCGGTTATTGCAGCGTCAACTTCAACTTAAAATGGCAAGGGAGCAAAGATAATGTATAAAACGTGTCTGTGTTCTTTCGGTTTATCAGCTTACAAAGATGGGATCGAAAAATAGTCGGGGAAAATCGGTGTTACTTTTACCTGTGATTGTGAGTTTTTTGTGGTGGTATTCTTTGGTTTCTGATCAACTCTTCTGTTTTGCCTTGTCCGGCACCAGGAAATTCCCCCTGGCATAAATGGAAGCAGATAAGGATTTCGAATCCGAAACCTTATACACGGTGACCAGTAAGTTCCCTGAACATGTATAGTTTTAATTTTCTTTTACACAAGTTCATCTGCAGTGCTAATTTCCTCTTATTTTCTGCATATTTTAATGGATTAAGTGCAACAAAAGAAGATTAGTGCATGAAAAACAAACTATCGACAAGAAAATAGAACTTACCTCATCTGCTTCAGTAAATTCTTTATTGTTTCAAGCTTTCTTCGTCTTTTCGAGAAACGAAACCGTGGTAGTCAATGGAGGGGCCTGCTTTGTTTTAAGAAGGTTATATACTTCAGAAAGTTTAGTCCGGAGAAAAGGAAGGATTGGTGGTTTAGTTAGTCATGGAGAGAAGACAAGCATGCAAGCTTTGGACAATATGCTTTGCATGCATATCTCGTTACTTTAGTTATGAAGAGGGTTAGGCCCCGAGGGGACAACTCTCTTCTCGGCACCATATCTCGGATCAATGTCATTCGGTCCGGACGGGGCCACTGGCTTTGAAAATTGCTGAAATCCATGGATTTTCCGAAGGTGAAAACACGAAGAACGTCGCCACGGGAGGGAGAATGAATCAGAAGGTGGGAACTCGTTTATTGGCGAAGTTGGTGACAAAGTTTGAGCCGACTGTCGAAAGAGGAGAAAAAGTATGAAGATTGAAAGGCGAAAACTGGACTTGGTATTGTTTTAAGATCAATGGAGAGCTCTTTACATAGAAGTGGTCGTGGAATTCATGGGAATTGGAGGTTTAAATGAAAAATCAAGTTGAAGCTGTAGCTATTGTGCTTAAAAATTTAAAATTAACGAGTTTTTTAGTCGAATCAAATCCTATTTTAAAATTTTTGAGTCGAGTTAAGTTCAATAATTATCGGTACATCAAATTAGACGGGAATTATTGGAGGCGAAGTGGAACAAGAACTAACATTAAACCATAAATGTAGGAAAGACCGGGGCAGACAGGATTTGACTTCACCTTACGTACAATGTCTACTTCCTAATCTATTGGCTCAAATTATTCTCCACGTAGGAAATTCATGTACCTTTAATATAGCTTTTGTTTTTACTCAAACAATCTTGATTTAAGAGTCATCTTTACTCCTACAATAAATTTAATTTATTATTTTTTATCATATTTTCGTATTAATTTAACTTTTAAAATTATTTAATTATATCGTTTTATATCATACTCTTAACTAAAAATCTTAAATTATAAAGCATAAGTTATGATTTAGGGTTTAAAGTTTAGAGATTATGATTTAAGGTTTAAGGTTTAGAAGTTATGAGATAATAGTTTAGAGTTTATGATTTAGGATTTTAAGTTAAGAGTAGGGTATAGAATAATACAATTGAGTAACTTCGAGTGTTAAATTAATGTGAAAATACGATAACGGTGAAAGTGATAAATTGAATCCGTTATAAAGATAAAAGTTACCCTTTTGCCAATACTGTTTTAAAATAATTACTCACTCATATAGGAGAGAAAAATGGTTGTCCCTTGTTCCCATCTGTAATGGGTAAGGGGGAAGTAAGATAGTAGGTTGCCCCCAACATCAAGTTGAGAGCAGCTTCCGTAGAAGATCTCCGAATTATGAAATACCCTCCGTAGGACTCGATCTCACGACCTCAAGATTAAGATATAGGAGAGAACTTTTTTTAAAAAAATTAAATCTTGAAACAAAAAATTTAAAAGGGTTGGTCGATTTGTTGTCCTCTTGGTTGGGGGCATGTGCGAGACAAGGGGTTAAAGGGTCACTTATCCACTCAAATCCAAATTAATTATAAGGTATATTATGTGCTTAATACCTAAATTATTATTTTTATTTTGTTTTAATACTTAGACTTTCATTTTTTTTAAATCATACATCAAGTTTAGTTTTTGTTTCATTTTAATGTTTCGTTTAAAATTTAATGTTAACTTTTGAAAAAAATTGAAAGTTGAGATTCTAAAACATATTAAAATTGATAGTTTAGGTACTAAACGAACTAAGTTTCTAACGGCGGGTACTAAACTATAAGTATGATTTTAAAAACTAAACTATAAGTTGAGATTATGGCTTCATGCTTAAAATCATTCATTAATGCAAGGAAAAATTACAGAATTTTTGTGCAAAACCTGAGCCACTTTTTTTCGGGTTGTACTCTTGTTCCAAGGCTTTGTCTTTATTAATCCGAACTGACCCATATCGTACACCTCATTAAAATCATTCAAACTCGAGATATTACTTAAGCGATCTCACCACTTGAACCAACCCGTTAGTGCTTGACCGCTTATTTAATTTCAGAGGAGCTACTTCAGCTGCACAAATAGCAAATGCACAGTGAAGAAGAGAGTGGAACCATCTTCTGAAGATCCCACCATCATCATCACTACATATGAAGGTCAACACTGTCATCATAGTGCCGGTTTCGCCCGAGGTGGACTCATCAGCCATGAAGTTGCCTTTGCCCGTCAATTTAATCCAGCAATCTCTCAAATTTATCATCCACACGGGATACAGCTGCATAGGGGAATTCCTCCCAGCACAACACAGTCACACCAAGTACCTATTGAAGTGAGAGAATCTCGTTCACTGCCCAAAGGTGAAGGGTTACTTGGGGATATTGTGCCTCCTGGAATGCATAACAGGTGAGAGAGAAAAAAAAACATGGTAAGCATACTATAACTCTTTTACACACTTAATCAGTTTGAGTGAGAAAAACAAAGTAAGGGAGATGGGGAATGGCTTTAGCAACGAGCATTTCACTAGTTAGGGCTTCAGCTAAGTTATTGGAAGGACTCAGCCTCCCATGGTCAGGAGGGCTTCACAAGACTAGAGCTTCTTGGCTAGTATAGCTAGTGGACCAATGTGACTAATATTTGTCTATTTAACCCCAAAATCAAGAGATATAGTTCCCTCTTTTGACATTTTTTGACCAGTCCTTACCTATCTCGGATAACATTTATGGACAGCCCTATTACATCTTTATAGTTAATTATTTACTTGTTCCTCGCAGCGTTCAATCATAAGGTTCATAGTTTTCATTGGATACTTAGTTTTTCTGGAATGCCTATTACATCTTGATTCAAAGCATTCCATGAATGTTCGTGAACATTTCGTATGATATTTGTTTATTAAACTAAATAAATGATTATCAATAAATTTTTGTGTTCAATTAATAAACAAATGAACATGAACATAGATGTGTTCAATTTGTTTATGTTCATGAATAAGCTCGTTTATTCGGTTTTTCTTTTCTTTTTATTTATTTTTTTCAGATTTTAGATATTGGTGAAGGTAGGGACTGAATTTAACACATTGTGAACTTTGAAGTTCAAGCTATGAAGCCTAAACATTTTAAGGATTAGTGGGGTAATTTTACCATTTTTCATTCAATCACAGGTAAAAAGGGAGAGAGTGCTGGTTGGCAACGAACGTGTTGAAAAACATATAAATAACTTGTTCGTGAATGTAAAATGAACATATTTTTTAATGTTAAATCAGTCGATGAACATCTTTAAAAATATATAAATGAATACGAACACATTATATATTAAAATTTTAAACAAATTAAAACTAAACATAAACACCTTCACAAAATAAAATAAATATGAATTAAAACCTATTCATTTACACTTTTATTGTCAATTTTATTATACTTATTAAATGAACCGAACATGAACACCTTAAAATAACAATTAAACGAGCACAAATTATAAACTAACACTTTAAAAATAAACAAACGAATATAAATATAATCTTTCTTCATTTAAATGTGGTTCATTTACACCCTTAATTACTATTTACTATCTATATGCACCAACAAGAGATTATTTCGAATTAGTATCATTTATGCTTAATATATTAGGTTTAATAACTCATCAAATGGTCTCAAATGGTCTCAGTGATTAAAGAAAGTGTTATACTTAATATATAGAAAGATATTATTGTAATTATTCCTAAATATATAAAATAAAATTATATTTTTTTGGGTCTAGCCAGATATTTTTCACCATAAACCCGGACCGAATCCAAACATAATATTAAAAAAACCTGACCCAACCCGACCCAAACTCGATTTAAAAAAATTAGACTCGTTCAGATCAAATCATGTCAAAATCCGTCAAGTTCGAGTCTCATACTCATCCCTAGATTTATCCGCTTTAAACCTTAAAAAAACCCTAAAAAGATAATAATAAGATTTTTCAGCCCAAATTGGACTTTCTACCATGTACTTGACTAGTTGGGTCATTAACTTAAAGAAAACCCAAAATTCTATGAGTTAATTCAACTTTAAAACCAATAAAAAAAATAGGATAAACTACACATTTAATACTAAAACTATTAATTTTAATTTATTTTAGTACTTAAACTATCAATTTTGTTCTATTTTATTATCTAAACTTTCAATTTCTTTTTAAAAAATTAACGTTAAATTTTGGACAGGAATAATAAAATGAAATAAAACAAAACTTTAACCTTTAAGTATGGTTTTGAAAAGAATGAAAGTTTAGATATTAAATTGGATCAAAATTGATAATTCGGACTTTCGGTGATCGATAGTTATATGAATAGTTATAAGAACTTCAACTATATTCAAAATCGAACCGAATCAAATCTCTAAACGATAGTTAACATTCTTCCTACTAGTTGACCTAATATAACTCGGTAGATAAACTCTTGTTAGAGACAAAAGGAGAGCATTAAAATTGATCTTATGGCATTTTCCCAAAGAGTATATACATACATACATACATACATATGTGTGTGTGTGTGTTTCAATTGTGAAGAAAGCAGCAAATACAGGCCTAGGGGCATGTGAATTCTAGAGGAAACTTCATTTCCACTCCATGGCATCAACCTTTCGTTAATGTTTCCCCACAAAGGAGGTGGTCCTTTCTTCTTTAACACAACCCTTTCAACTATGAACAAAAAGAAAACAACACTTCAACAGTGAGATTTGTTGATAACATATGATTGCTTCCAACAAGAAAAACTAATTGCAAAAATGGTGAACACAGTTGATAGGACCATCTTGAATCAGAAAACCAAAGAGAGACACCAAAAAGGAAGTAAATTTGTTCATTTACACACCATGAAATCCTCCTACCATGGGATTGGGATGAACCCAGAATTCCCCATTGCATCTTCTTCAACAGCAGCTGGAAGGTTAAGGTCAATTAGAGCTGGCAATGGAGTTTCTGGTGAGTCTTGTTTGATGACCAATGTTGTTCCCTCCGAACTTCCAACGAAACGGGACCTTTTGTGACCTCCTAAAGCTTGGCCTGACTTGAAAACCCTGCAACAGAAGGGGCATTCATGGCCTTTGTTTTTCTTTGAAATCAATCTCTTCTCAGAATTGCCATTTGAGGACTTGGTCATCTTTGTACCAGCCATTTGAGCATGAAAAGAGCAATTTGCAGAGCTATCAGCTTGATTATCACCTACTTCAGTTTTCACACACTGGAATTTACTCACATTTTTACCAGATCTAGACTTCACCTTAAGTTTCTTACATTCAACAATCCTCACATCAATGGAAGATGATTTAGCCTCCAAAACAACAGAGTTGTTATCTGAAGAATCAGCAACTGAGTTCAGCCCTTTCTTGCAACCAGAAGAATCCCTTGAAAGCATCATCAAACACACAGCAACCTCTTCTTGTTCTTGCTGATCTTCAATCTCTGATACAGATGATGAGCCATTTGGTAAACAAACTGAATCGTCAGAATGAACTTGAACCTGATGAACCCCACTTGTTTTGCACCTTATTCTCCTGGATCTCCTCCTTTTACCTGGAACAGTTGACGTTTCAGTGTCTGAATGACTATCCCAATGATCCTCAAATTTGTGAATGGCCCTTTCTTTCTCAGAGTGACAAGCCATGTGACCACAGAGTGCTTTCAATGAATGGAAACCCTTACCACATTCTTTACAAATCATCATCTCTTTGAGCAAAGAGCCATTGCCTGATTCTGAAAGCCTCTTGCTTTTCTTGGGGTTTTCCCTCAGGCCATAAGTTGCAGATTGGCCAGCACCAGCTTCAGCTGAATTCTCATTGTTCATATGAGTTCTTATGTGACCCCCTAAAGACTTACCACAAGGGTACCCTTTGTTGCAATACTCGCAAACAAACTTCTTCTCTTGATTTTGTTCCATTTTTAAAAATGATCACTGGAAAGCTGAAAATACCCTGTAAACTAAACTGGACGAGCAACTCATTTCTTACCTCAAATCTTCAAAAAGAACTGCATTTTTCAGTGATCTTGTGGAAGAAGAACAAAAAATCAAAATCTAGATCAAGGAGAAGAGAGAAAAAAAGAACAGATCACAAAGTTGGTTGCTTTAGTTTCAGCGGAGATGATGATGAACAAACGAGAATCAGCAGCTGAGATGTGACAATTCTCTGTTTTAAGTACAACAAAAGAGATCCGACCCACAAGAAAAAGACACCTTTTCCGATGAAAACCAAAATCCTTTTGAAATAAATCAAATCTTTAAAGGTGATGGGTCGCTAATGATGGCGATGAACAGGCTGATACGAAGAAGAGGAACAAAAAAAAACCAATCACTCTCCCTCTCTCTGGATGCCATTTGTTTTTCGTTGTAGTTGGAGGAGAGTTCCATGCATGGAAGCCCCCCCAAAAAAGAGATTAAAATGGAAGAAAAGATAGCCAACACGTGTATTCAAGTGAGAATCATCCGGTGATGGAAACGAACGGTCGAGATTTGTTTCGAGGATCCCCAACGAGTGGGGAGTTCTGTTGTAATATTCAAACAATCCCTTAACTTTGTCTTGCCTGTAAAGCTCACAAAAGTGTCGGGGGGGCAGAACCTCCAACTCATCGTCCGTTGCCTCCACTAAAAGAGATCAGTTCACGAAATATGCCAGTATGTCCCATTGTGCTTGCCCCCTTTCTCTTATTTTTACTAAATCTTTAGAGTAATATCAGAAGTTCGAATATTAACATTATAAATAAAATAAAATAAAATAAATTAAAATAATCATCTCATAATAAACTTCGACAATATTCAATTCGAATTAAATAACCTACAAAGGAAAATTTTCTAAACAAAAGGTTATTGACCAATAACTCTTGGTTTAATGTAAAGAATATAAATCATTTTATCGATCAATTTGTTCCCTTCATGGTCTATTAGATCATGGTATTCATCGGGGACATATGAGACATTAAATCATGGCTACCACTACTGATTGACTTCCATTATCAACTAAATGTTAAAAAATGTGATTCACTCATAAAAGAAGTATTTTTTTTCCGGGAGGAGGAAAATTTGATGCCAAAATGATAAACCAAGTCACATACGCAAAAGGAAACTTGATAATCCAAATCTCACCAAACCCTAAAAACACACAAGTTGCTGGTCCACTTGGAAAAATCAAGCTGCGATTTCTCAGCCAATGGCTTTCTCATGATGTCAATGTGATGTCTCACCATGTTTGTGGTACAAATGCAATTTACTTTGACCAGGTTTTTTAGTATGTACTTCGGTGAAGATGAATTTTGATAAATTTAATAATTATTTTATAATAATTTGATAAATTTTAGTGACCATTTTATAATAATTTGATAAATTTTAGTGACCGTTTTATAACAATTTGATAACCAACATCATATACAGAAGAAGAAAAGATTCCATTAACAGCACTTGTTAACATGCTGAATCAAAATACATTAGGTTGATGAATTTACAAGGAAAAATTATTGTTGAAGAACCAAAACTTTGGCCTTTAACTAATGAGAAGATTCTGGACATTTCAAGAGCAAACAATTTGTTCTTACCTCAAAGTATCTTGTCCGAAAATCTCTTCAATTATGTTGCATGTCGGCTGGAGATCGAACCCTTTTGTTGAAGATGTAGGATACCTAGTGTCCCAGATTTTGGAATCACATGCATCCGAAAAACACATATCGCTCACCAGCTCACTAGACTCATCTAGTTTACCAGGCTGCAAAGACTTGCAAAGCTCGGTCACTGATCGTTCACTAACATGCGAGTTTGCCTTTGTGTCAATCAGATTATGAGAGTCAACAATGTCCGGGTGAAACTCGAAAGACATACATGAGTCATCCTGTACACTGATATCCTCCATTATTCCGAAACCCTTGTCCGTTTGTTGAAGAACAGGACCGAAACTGCTCTCATCAAATGGCTTCAAAACACGTCCTTTTAACGAAAGATTGATGCCATAATCCTCTCTTGTTGTGGCCTTGCTATAATATCCAACACCATTAGCACCACCAGAATTGCCACTATAATCATCGTCCACATCATTGTTGTCTTGATGGTTTGCCAGATCTTCCCGATCAGCAAGAGATTCAGTAGCAGAGTCTTCATCTTCCTCTATAGCTTGAACTTCGTACGACTGTTGATTTCCATAAAACTCACCATCATCGCTGTCAATGTCCAGGCTACTCGATCTGTTCTGGATAGCTCGCCTCTGAAGGATAAAGACATTGAAATAATAGCTAACCAGCTCTCTCTTGGACCGTGATGGGAAAATCAATGACAACTGTTTCCAAAACTTCTTTCCCAATGATGCAGGATTATTGTAAACAACCTCACGAAAGATCTCTTCATCTTCTTCACTCCATTTATATGCTACATCCTCTCCAATGTTATAAAACCCCAGTTTCACAAATTTTTCATGCCCAAGGGATTCTCGTAATAGTTTCCATGCCTCCATAACATGCTGTTGCACACATCTTGAAGATCCCCTATCCAGGTCAGCTCGGCCAGCACCAACATTACCACAGATGTTTGAAGACAAATGCGAGTCAGGCATTGGAATGATACATGTTCCCATCTTAATATCCTCATTGTAATTATCTGCAGTTTCTGAAGCAACAGCAAACTTATTATTCTTTATATGCCTACCCCATGATGGAACATTGGCTTGATGATTTGACCCAATCGGAACTTGTTTTCGAGGAGACTGATCCAAGAGTAAATAATAGTCATCCTCAACACGAGAAAACATTCTTCGAGGGATACCAGAGTCAAAATATTCAGATGAAACAGGTGAAATAGCTGCTACACCGGTGCCTGTATCTTCCTCGCTAGAAATGCTAGTAACCAAAGATAAGGGAGCAGTTGTCTAGGAAACAATTCTTATTTTAAATTAGTCCTTAAAAGTTTAAATATTTTAATTTCATCTTCAAATTATAAATCTCATTCTAAATTAGTCCCTAAAGTTTAAAATCTTCTAATTTCATCTTCAAATTCATCCCAACACGTAATTCAATTTCAACCATAGTTCAACATAAATTTTACTTTTTTAAAAATGTAATAATATAGCTTGGTACATTTTTATTAATAGGGACAATATTTGTATATGTTGATATTTTTGGATAAAATTGGACGTTCAAAAGTTCGGCGACCAATTTAAAATAAGATCATAATTTGAAGATACAACATATTGTATCAGTTGTAGGCCAACCTCACACAAGCTGCAAAAAAAATTATCTATGCCACTGCTGGCATGTCCTTGAGCCAGTCATCCAATGGCTTCCCAATGGAGTAGACGATAAACCCGATTTTCCTCAATTTCTCTACATCGACGATGTTCCGGCCATCGAACAAAAATGCTGGCTTCTGCATGTTACCGAAAATCTTTTGGTAATCGAGCTTTATAAACTCATCCCACTCAGTGAGGATGCAAAGCCCATGAGCATCCTTTGTTGCTGTGTATGCATGCCAAACGACACTAACATCGGTGACAGAGGTGGGGCTCATCGGCTGAAGATGAACCGGATGGTCCCAGTCGAACTTCTTCATCGAAAGGTCCCTCTGAATCTGGTCTTGGTTAACTTGAGGGTCGTATATGCTCAGTTTAGCTTTGTCCCCTATCAGGCCTTTGCACACATCAATGGCTGGGGTCTCCTTAGTGTCGCCGGTGTCCTTCTTGAAGGCGAATCCAAGGATGGCGATCTTCTTCCCCGAGACCGTGTTGAACATCGAGGAAACAATCCGGTTAACGAACCGGGTTTTCTGGTAGTCGTTCACCTTGATGACTTGTTTCCAGTAATTGGCTACCTCAGGGAGGCCATTGCACTCACAGATATAGACCAAATTCAGAATATATCCTTTTGGAAACAAGATCCACCAAAACCAACACTAGCATTCAAGAACTTGGGTCCGATTCTCGTATCCTTCCCAACAGCATGAGACACTTAGCTCACATCGGCGCCGGTAGCCTCGCACAATGCCGACATAGAATTAACCGACGAGATTCTCTGAGCCAAGAAGGCATTGGCAGCGAGACCAGAGATTGGTGCATATGATTCTATCCATGGGAACCCATTGTGCATAAACGTCCCTCAACGTTTCGATGGCCTTTTTACCTTCCGGTGTCTCCCTGCCGCCGATAAGAACACGGTCGGGGTTGAATAAATCCGAAATCGCGGTCCCCTCAGCAAGGAATTCAGGGTTGGAAAGGATCTGAAAGTTGATCCCTTTGCTATTGTGAGTCAAAATCTTCTCGATGGCCTCGGCTGTTTTAACAGGGACGGTCGATTTCTCGACCACGATCTTGTTGGATTTCGCTACATCGGCGATCATACGAGCGGCACTCTCCCAGTAGGTCAAATCAGCGGCTTTCCCAGCTCCGAGACCTTGGGTTTTCGTCGGGGTATTGACTGAAACAAACACAATATCGGCTTCGGAAACATGTTTCTCGACATCGGTGCTGAAGGAAAGGTTTTTGCCTCTGCATTTCTTCACCACGTCGTCGAGGCCTGGCTCGTAGATGGGGAGTGTATCACTGTTCCAAGCATTGATTCTAGCTACCGAAATATCAACAACAGCCACTTGAATGTTGGGGCATTTCAGTGCAATGACGGCCATGGTCGGACCGCCGACATATCCAGCTCCGATGCAACAGATCTTCACCATTCTCGACAAGAAAAACTGCTCCTGGAACAAGTAATTGATTTGACATCCACATTAGCAAATTCAGATCTAAGCTAAATTACTCTTCAGATAAATCAAATCTCATTCCGGCTAAATGAATTCTTTTTCATAAACCAAAACTGGGTTTTCAGAAAAGCTTGATTCAAAGCAACAATGAAAGACGAACATTGATGATGTATGGTTTCCAAAACGAGTAAACAACGCATTAAATGACTAAAACAGGAAGGCAAAGCTATGGAAAACAACAATCGATCGAGCAATTAAACAAAACCCAGGAGATCAAAAGGGAAATGAAATGGGAATTTAGATTACCTTTCTGGGGATTCAGCTATCCGATCAAACAAAGATGATGAAGAAAAAAAAAAGGATATAAAAAGGTGGGAGAGAAATTGGGTGAAGTTCTTCAGGCGAGGAATGAGGAAAACTAAACACCTCCCCACTGTTTATACACATAACTCAACTAACGTGAGGGTGATTTGCATGCCTTTTTCATGGTCAATATTGCCCATGGTTTTCACAACCGGACGGTTAACGAACCTACCATGTTACCGGTTCATTGATCGATCGAAAGAATCGGACGATGTCATAATTATTTAAAAAATTAAATAAAAATACTAAAAATATTTAATAAAAAATAATTTTTTATATCACAAGTCATATTCAAAGCAAATTATAACATATATAAGTTAAAAATCATAAAATCAAGTCAAACAAAATGATTCAAATTAACTACAATATAATAATTAAGGTAAAACATATTAAATAATAAATATAATTATATAAATATAATTAAAAAAATAAATTTGGGACTAAAAAAATCATAACAAAATGATATTGTTACATGGCTAAGAAACGTAGAAGAGCATCCCAAAAGTCTAAAGAGTAAAAATATGATAACAAAACAATCTCACATTACTAAAAAACATAGAAGAGCATCCCAACTAACTTCTATAAATAATAGAAGAAATTTGACATTCAAAATCATGGAGTCTTTTGCTGAGCATTGAGTGAACTATTCTTTCACTTTAATCAAGCTCGAATTTTAGGCTTCAATCGAGCTTTTAATTTTTTTTGAGTTCAAGCCTTTTTCGAGTTTAAGTTTTAATATTATATTTCGAGTTCGAGTTGAACTTGTTAATTTTTAGCTCGTGAGTTTGAGTCGAGTTGAGTTTACTTTTAAAGTTTTCAAGTTCGAGTCGAGCTCAGCAATACTTGAGTTCGACTTGGCTCGTTTAACAAACGACGTCGTTTGGTTTAATTTTTTAAAAAAAATTGGTTGTTTTTACGGTTTTTTCCGATTTTCAACCGATCCGGTTTGAACGGTTTAGCGGTTCCGACCGATTCACTAATAACGGTTCAACCAGTATAGATTGAATCGAACTAGACAACGATTCTCAATTAAACCGATTGAACCGACCGATTTAATCCGATTTTCAAAACAATGATATTACCTTTCCTTTTTATATACGGCCAAAAGATATTAAAGTTCTATCTACTTTTAAATTTTAAAAAAATAATGTCATCTTCAGCATTATTGTTTCTCCCAAGTCTTCAATTCAAAAAATAAAATTTTATATAATATTGACCTGATAATCAAATGACAATCTAAGATGACAGATTAATATAGCGAATGATATGGTAAATTAGTTAAATTGATAAGTCATATATCAGCATCGCATATCGTTATGTCAGTACCATAATGGTCAATAACAAAAAACGTTGATCAAAAGACCACATTAAATTTATTTTCTGAGTTCAAAGGTCACGTAGAGAAAAAAATAATATGATGATCACGTTGATTTATTTCCAAAAGTATATGTACCTATGATATACTTATACTTTTGTATATTTATGAGAAGTACTTAAATTAAGATATTTATTTTGAATTTATCCACAAATTTTTGAATATTTTAATTAAATCCTTAAATTATAACTTTCATTCTAAATTAACCCTCACATTTTTTAATATTCTAATTTCATCTTTAAACTATAACACTCATTTTAATTTGGTCACAACTTTTGAATATTCCAATTTCATCTCAAAAAAAATTCAAATATATAATTAATTTCAACCATAGTTTAACTAATTTTTTTTCAAACTTATAGTAATATAGTTTAGCCTAAATGTTTTATCAACAAGGGATGTAGTTAGCATATGCAGACAATTTAAGATGAATTTGAAATGTTCAAAAGTTTGGATATTAAATTGAAATAAATGTTATCATTTATGGATGAAATTGGAATGTTTAAAAGTTTGATAACAAATTTAGAAGAAAAATTATAGTTTGAGTATGAAACTAAAATATCCAAAATTTATTGACAAATTTAAAATTATAGAATGTCAAAAGCTAGTCATAACATGTGATAAAATAGTCATTTTAACGCTCAACTCTTCCTTCTTTCAAGATAAAATTAAAATTAAATATAAAATCTATAAAAAATTAATTTCACATTAAATAATAAAGAAATTAATTATGAAATTCGACCAATTACTTATTTTCCAAAAACAGTTTATTTCATTTATCTCCCCCTCGCATTTATCGCTTTCCAAGATACTTTTTTTATCCATATCCAAAAAATGGACCCTTCCTTGTGTTCGATATCCCCAGCCACTACTCCCCCGCCCATCGTCCCCGTCGTCGCCCCCACCACCCAAACGAAGACGATCGCCGGCGGTCTGCCTCCGAGTTTCAGCCATCCTCCTTACTCCGACATGATATGCGAGGCCATCGGGGCTTTGAAAGAGAGCAACGGATCTAGCAAAAAGGCCATATCTAAGTACATAGAGTCAACTCACAAGGACCTGCCGCCGTCACACTCGGCCTTGTTGACTCACCAGTTGAAGAGCTTGAAAAGCAGTGGCGTTTTGGTTATGGTTAAGAAGTCTTACAAGCTTGCTTCCACCGTTGGATCTGAAGCTACTTTGGCAGCTTCTGATGTTTCAACCGGACCCAAACGAGGCCGCGGTCGTCCTCCTAAGCCCAAGGCCGCCGACTCCAACCCCCTGCAGCAGCCAGTTCCGTTTTCCGATGTGCCTAAAAGGCTCCCCGGAAGGCCCAGAAAGAGTGCACCCATGGCTCAACTTGGGGTTATTCGGAGTCAGGGTCGGGGTCGCCCCGGTCGACCGAAGAAACGGAAGACGGTGAGGTCAGTGGTTGGAGCTAGTGCTATGAAAAGAGGCCGTGGACGGCCTCCTAAGGCCTCGATCCAGCTACCTCAACAGGCGGTCATACCGAACTACGGTCAACCCGTGGCGGTACCTTATGCTGATTCTGCAGCTGTAACTGCTGATATTGGTGTTCCGAGGCCCAGAGGAAGGCCAAAGGGCACTGCTCGAGCTGCCGCCGTCGTGTCCCTTGGAAAACGGAGAGGTCGACCGCCCAAGATCGCTGGAGTCACCGTTAAGCCCATGAAAACAACCGGAAAGTCCGTTGGCCGCCCTAAGAAAGTAATCCCTCTTTGTTAGTTTGGTTTTTGGTAGAAGAAAGTTATAGAAAGCAACACAAGAATGTTTGTTAAACTACCTAATGGATCCTTGTAGTATAATCTTAATAGCAAGTTAATCTCTCTATCATAAGCTAGAGATTTAGTCATTCTAGATGTACTTCTGGTGCAAGTAGGTAATTTAGAAGAACGTATTTAAATTTTATACTGTTCAAGGTTATCGTGTTTAAATTTCATCTCTTCTCTTCATAATTAGATGCATAAGCCATGAAGGGACTAATTTTGTTCTCAATATATAGTATAGGGACCTTCGAGTTATTTAACCCAAAAATGTTGTTTCAGTAAATGGATGAAGAAACGTACAAATAAATTTTAGGCCAGTAATAGTGGACTAGGATCTTATACGAGTAGACCTGCTGCTTTTGCATTTTGCTTTAAGTCTATTGTTTTTTCCTCACATAACCAGGCAACTGATGGAGCCAAATCCGAATCGAAGGCTTTAGCAGCAGCACATGAAGACTTTAAGAAAAAACTCGAATTCTTTGTAAGTAAAATCGATATGTTTACGACATGTTTTCTTTTTCTTCTGATATATTCGTATATGATAGTTATGTTATATGCATATTTGAAGAAGATTATGGGAACGTGATCTTTTGTTTACTTATGCTACTTGAACTCAGGTAGATACATATATATGACTACGAATCGGGTGTGTTGAATGTTAACTTTTGCAAGATTTTTCGTTACACATGTTCGAGTATACGTCGGGAATAAGTGTTGGATATGAATCCTTTAAGGAAAAAAAAAGGGTGAACTCGTTGATTTATGATGTTGATTATTGTATGATTGCAGCAACTGAAAGTGAGACAAGCAGTTGAAGCATTGAAACCTCAGTTCACTAGTGAAAGCAACGGCAGTGCCGTTGATGCAATCCTGGAGTTAGAAGGACTTGTCGCAATAAACATTGCGAGCACACCATGGAAAGCGGCCGATGCTCAACCGCCACCACAGGCGGCAGGACAACCACCGGTAGCACATGATGAAGGGCAAGTGATTTAATCCTTTATTTTCATGTATCTGTAGCAAAGACCTGTAGAAATTATTCTGACCTAGTGGAGGAGGATGTTTCTGTAAAACGAAATAAGTTTTTAGGTCTAATTTGTTAAAGTTAAACCTTTTCATGCTTTTGATTCCCTCGATTCTCTGTGATGTTCATGGCAGGCAGCTGTTATTTATTGCACTTCATGATTCAAGCATCTTTCTTTTGCTATATCATTCGATTTTTATTAATCTGGGATAAGTACAAAGTAATATTGGTTCAAAGAAGAATGTAAATTTTTTGAAATTGAACGTTTATACTTTTGGTATTTACGGTGTTTAAACTCAGGTCTTCAAGGAATAATAATTTTTTTTTTACTATGGAGGCCACTTGGTTCGTGCCATTTGAATTTAATTTTGTTAGATACGAGTATATATTCGATATGAGTATATCTATTTTTTTAGTCCTTAATTATATATTTAGAGAGTGTTTAAAGAGTATGTTTTTACACTTTTTTCAAGTTTTGGTCTTTTTTAGATATTATATAGAAAAAGATCATGACAAATGTTTAAAGGTAAATAATAAATTTCATCATTAAACTTTACTCTTTCTCTTATTTTGCTCATTGAATTTTAAAAGTTCTCGATTTTCTCACGAAATTTAATATATTAGATTTTTTGTCACTTAATTATACTCTCCCTTATTTTGGTCACTCCATCATTAAATAGTTAACGACATTAAAAACTACGTCATTTTCGAAAAAACATAATTTTCTTTAAAACGCTTCATTTTGAATCTATATAACAATCTATTTTAACATTGTTATCTATTTAATGGTCTAATGATAAAAAACTCTAATGTATTAAGTTTAGTAAGAAAATTGAAAAGATTTAAATTACAGTGAATAGAATAAGAGAGATAATAAAGTTTAACTACCAAATTTATAATTTACCTATATAAAATTTATACTTACTCCTATTAAATGAGTTTCTTTTGATTTTGGATAAACTATGTAGATAGTACTCTATGTTTTCGATTTGACCGAGGTTGGTCACCAATTTAAAAATTAAGGGTGAATGGTCCCTAATATTACCGAGTCGTTCTATTTTAGTCTCTAACATGATCGACCCATTCAATTTTTGTCCTTCAACCATTAACTCCCGTTTGATTTTAATCCCTTAATCATGTTAGGGACTAAACAAAAAAGGACTTAAATAAAAGAGGGTTAACAAAAATTAATGCCCCATGTACTAAAATCGAATGGATCGATACGTTAAGGATCATTTCTCTTTAATTTTTAAATTGTTGATAAGACCCTAAATATAAGAGACTATCCGTATAGTTTACCCTTTAATTTTTACAATTGTCTCGTTCACAATGTCATATTAGAAAAATCAACAAACAATAACACTTATATTTTCAAATCAACAAACAACACCTATATTTTATTTTTTATTCTTATATGTTTTATTCTTTTGTTTATTAAAATAAATCAATAAAATTTATTAATAATTTTTAAGAATAATTTTATTATATTTCTTGGTTAAATAGAACTCTTAACTATATGCATAATTAATATAAGAAACATTATAAGACGATAATAAGAGTATCATTTGGCGGATGTTTTTAGATCAGCACAAGTGTTAATTTTTAAAATTAATTGAATAGGAGTTAGAATTAATAATCATTTTTCTAATGATGAGATAAGGATAAAATAACCCTACTTTCACATCAAATCTTGGTAAAAATTTGACGGTCCATACATCACTAACCCCCAAAAAAAAAAAAAAAAACTCACACTTGTAGCTTTAAGTAAACAAAGTGCCATTTACAGAAGAAAGTGGCAGTGGTGGGGGATTTGTCATTGTCACTAATAGATGCTCCCATCATCGAACACACACCAGTGGTTAATATTACACCAAAATCCCATCAAAATTTCCTTTCTTCGATTCAAAGCCAAGATGACCCTATGATCCAAAGGGTAGCCGTAGCAGCAAAAGTGAAAAACAAGTTGTGGTTAGTGAAGAGACCCACAGCACTGCCCGGATCATTGATGCCCGTTGTCCCCGTCGGACCCAGTGTCGACCCCGCACCACCAAACACGGTGGTTGGAGTCCCCGTGGTGGTTGAGCCGGTGGTGGTTGTCCCGGTTTGTGTGGTGGTGCCTGTGTTTGCTGCCCCTGTGCCACTGCAGAACCAAAAACTAGAGTTAAAAAAGACGAACAACTTTTACGAGTTTCAACATCATGTCAGCTCATCGCATAAACAAAGATGCTTTTTCCAAAGGAAAAATATCACAGAGAATGGTTCATAACTCCCATTAAAGCATACCTTGAGGGAAAGCTGCAAGTTGAAGCAACATCTGCAAAATCACACATGAAAAAAGGTCAGGGGAACCCCAAAAATGAAGGGATGAAAGTGTTTGAAGAGACTTACTTGGAGGAGGATTGGGGCTAACAGCAGCAGTGCCTGAAAAATCACAGCTATCTTGAGCTTGCCCTTTCCTTTGGAAATAGCTATTGACGGCGTAGTTGCAGTGATCTTTGACAGTGTTGGGGTTATAGCAGCCGCCTTTCTGGAGAATGGCAGAACAATCAGCTCCAGCTCCACAAGCATAATCCAGGGTCTTTTGAAGTTGTTGATCACCAACTCCATCTTTACATAAGCAATAAGTAGCACCTATAGGCACATAACCAAAAGAAAAAAAAACAGCAAAAATGACAACTTTCTGGGAAAAGAATGATCTTTATGAAGCCATCTGCATGTCTTTTTCCAGCAAAGAAGGAAAACCCATCTCAGAAATCTTTACATCTAACCTTAAAAGCTTGGAAAATAAGAGGAAAAAAGAAAGGGAAAGGCTACAAAAAGTCCAAAGAACTTACTTGAATGGCCAGTCATGGCTAGGAACAGCACTAGACAAATGAAAAGAGCCATGATTCATGCAAGATTTTGAGGGGGGAAAGTTTTTTGAGGAAATTAAAGAGATGACCAAAGACAGCTGCTGGAGAGAGATTTCTAGACAAATACTAAAGGAAGAAGGTGGTGGGCATATAAGCCTCTTTCAATTACAATAATATGAGGCTATCTATGGTCTTAAAAACACCCTGAATATTATTAAAATTAAAATTTTTAATTGTATCATATTAAATTTTGTAAATTTTTAAAATTGTTATGGGAAATTGGGAAACTGAGCAGTGTATTAAAGAAAGTGTTTCTGGCATGAATTTGAGTTAAATATTCATGTTATTGCATTTTTGCATATGCTCTGTTTATATTCTCAAACGGTCATAAACTCATCAACACTTGACCTGGTTTAGGTTAAAGCACAACTGTGATGGTGAAGCCGTGGGGGTGAGGGTCCTACGTGTAGGACTCCTTTTTTCAGATCCTTTATCAATGTGCTGTCACCACTTACCCCTATGCGGTATTCTTTTCATTTTGAAGTCGGTATTCTCTTTTATTCCTTTCACATTCGATAATCAAGTTTTATAGTTGGTTTCTTGCAATAAGGTATGTACATGTAATTTAAAAAACAATTAATTTGTCGTTGGCATTATTTTTTAAATATGATCTTTAATTCATAAAATAAATCTAATGTGATTCTTTAGTTAATATTTTTCGTTGTTGATTGTTATAGTAATGACGTGCTGATGTAGCGGTTCACACTGCTGATGTAGCGGTTCACAGTGCTGATGTGGTAGTCCATTTACCAAATTTGAGTTATCAATTTAGTTAATCTGTCATGTCATATGCCCCATTAATATATCACACTGGACTGCCATGTTAGCATCGTAGACTATCACGTTACCATCGTGAACTATCACATCAAAACGGTCAATTATGAAAAAACGTTGATCAAATGACTACATTAAATTTATATCTTGGGTTAGAAGGCCACGTTAAAAAAATATAAGAAAAAAATACCTTATACTTAACTCATATTAATTAACAGATAATCATACAACACACTACTAATTGACATTTTATCCATCCAATTCAAGATAACCATCCAATAATAATAGACTATTTAAACACTTATGGTGAATATCGTATCAATTATTGCGAATGGACTCTCTTTTCGACTTAATTCCAATCCAAATTGACAAAACAACAATGTAAGAGTGATATTAAATAGACTTCGTATTTATCTACGGGAATTAGTTCAAATGTTAAGCAGTTTGATATTGTTTAAGCAATGTCTCAAATTTGATTTTTTTTTGTGTATGCAGAAAATTTACGTTTAGAGACTCACACACTAAAACAAGATGTACGATGCGGGTCGATCCGGATTAATCAAAACGAAACCTTGAAACCGAGAGGGTAATCAATAAAATACACTCCATATTTATAACTACATTTTCGACACCACAATAGTATTAAATAGACTCTATAGATTTAGGGTTTAAGATTTAAATATTGTGTTTCATTAATAGCATTTGTGGACCAAGACGAGAAACGTAAAGATTAAGATTAATCAAAAATCAAATAATATTATCTGAAAGGTGTGTAAATTTATCCGTAGACGCAGAACACAAACCTTATTATAAGATAATAAAAGAGAATGTTAAAAAAATTAAATTTATTAAGAAAATAAAGGTTAGAGTATACTCGTAACCACTAAAATTGGGTAAATTCAATTATAGGGTATTACTTTGTTGAGTCCCCGACTATTAAAAGTTACAAAACGGTCTATTGACTATAGGGTGTTGCTTTGTTGAGTTCTTTGGCTATTAAAAGTTACAAAATGGTCACCTGACTATTCATTATGTTCCAAATTCGTTCTTTTTCGTCAAAAAATTAACAATAATTTGAGCTATATGTTAATATACTATTTGAGATATTTTAAAAATTTGATCACAAAATCTCAAACGACTATCATAACCCATAACATCCAGCTCAAACTACCATTAATTTTTAATAGAAAATACGAGTTTGGAACATAATGAATAGTTGGGTGCCCACTTTGTAACTTTTAATAGTCGAGGGATTCAACAAAGCAACATCCTATAGTCATGGGATCATTTTGTAACTTTTGATAGTTGAGAGACTCAACAAAACGATACCCTATCGAGGAATCATTTGTATGTTTTACCTAAAATTTGAATATTAAAAAATATTAAATGTTTTTAATCTCATCGTGTGGGTGGAAGAGTAAGAAGAAAAATACTATACAAATGAAATTTTAGGGTAAAGTACACCCATAGTCCCCCGCTATAGGATATTCTTTATTAAGTTCATTGCCTGTTAAAAATTATAAAATAATCTTTCGATTATAGAATGTTATTTTTTAAGTCCTTCAACTATTAAAATTTATAAAATGATCACTCGACTATTCATTATATTCCAAACTAGACTTTTTTTCTTTAAAAAACGATAGTTGTCTAAGTTGGACATTAACATGATGACTGAGATATAATAGTCGTTTGAGATTCTGATATCAGATTTTATCATAACACAATCAACATGTTAACATTCAGCTCATAATATTGTCAATTTTTAATGAAAAATAATGAGTTCAGAACATTATGAATAGTCGGGTGATCGATTTGTAACTTTTAATAGTCGATGGACTCAAAAAAGCAATACTCAATAGCCAGAGTACTATATTGTAACTTTTAGTAGTCGATGGACTTAATAAAATAATACCCTATAGTCGAGAGACCATTTATATACTTTACCCAAAGTTTTATTGTCGTGTATATATTACAGGGGCCGAGTACTCTAAGGTACGGTCCATGTTTGGTGAGAAGTCAAATTTTGTGAACTTGGTGCATTGAATTTTTTTTCCTAAACTGCTAAACTAGTAAAATTATAATGTTGATTTTGTTACCTTAAGTGGAATTATTATCTTGACATTTAACCAAACATCGATATTATTATAATTTGTGACAGATAGGTCCATAAAAACCAGTGAGATACATAATTAAAAATGTTAGAGAAAGGGGATAATGGAACAAGATTAGGTAAGAAAAGGGGAATGGAAGGAGTAATTGTTTGATAATGGGAGTGGTTGCTTTCAGGTCATTGGTCTCTGAAGGTATTCAAGTTCCTTACTCGTTTGAGAATGGAATAATTGGACCACCTCGTAGTTACTCACTTTTTTACCTTATGCTTATTATGCATTCATCTCTCCGGTGACTAGGACGGCAATTTCGCGTATTTGATGGGTTCTGACTTAATCTAACTCGATCGAGTCAGGTTTTTTTTTATAAAGAATTTTGGGTTTGGGTTTGGGTTTAGGTCGGATCATATCTTTTAATTGGTGAAGTCGGGTCAGATTCAGGTCGGGTAAAAAAACTCCAACCAAATCCGAAGATAATAATATATTTTCCATGAAAATTTTATTATTATTTAATTAAATCTTTAGTTTATATCGAGACGAGTCAGATTTATACACAAAAAATCGGGTCGGTCAGAGGGTGGAGGATATATATTTTCGGGTCAGGTTGACCAAAAACACGATCCTAACTCGACCCGTTGCCATCCCTCTAGGTGACGGATCTAGAAATATTTTTCAGAGTGAACACATATATATTAATAACAAAAATATTTCATATAAGGTGGGCACAAATAAAATTTCAAGATGAACACATTTAATAAAATAAACAATCAACATAAAGAAATTTAGATTTCAGGTTGGGCATTGCCTTCTTGATTTATGCAAACTAAAAATCAGTTTATTTTAAAATTTGGGTAAATTATGTGTTTAGTACAAAAAATGTTAGTTTTGGTATGTTTTAATATCTAAACTTTCAATTTTTTTTAAAATCATACTTAACATTTAGTTTTTGTTTCGTTTTAGTATCTCACCATTAAAAATTTAATGGGTGATTTGCACGCAACACTTTTCTTATGGGTAAACTGCATCATTCATCACTTAACTATCTTCTTACTCCTATTTTGGTTACTAAAGTTTAATTTTTTTAATTTTATTATTTAACTTTCAAATTAAGCCTAATTCAATCACTGTAACTTCCAAATTTATTTTTTATATTTTTAATTTTATATTAATAAAATAATAATAAAAATATCATGTCACAAAAATTATTAATAAAATAAATTAAAGTGATTGCAATAGGATCAATTTGAAAGTTGAGTAGTTAAATTGAAATTTTTAAAATTTAATACCAAAATAGGAGTGAGAAGATAGTTGAGTGATGAATGATATAGTATATCTATAAAAAATGGTGCTGTTAAATTTTTAACGACGAGGTACTAAAACGAAACAAAATCTAAATGTTAGGTATGATTTTAAAAAATAAAAGTATTTGTACTAAAAATATCAAAACTAATAGTTAGGTACTAAACACGTAGTTTACCCTTTAAATTTTGTGGTTAAGGGCCTAAGGCCTTAAATGGCAGCCCAAAGAGCTTTTCATCCGCGAAATATATACCAAATACTGGGCCATCATAGTAGCGGAGACAAGCAGAATAATTTTGCATTGAGAAATACATTCAACATCCAGCCCAGAAAATGAAGAACAATTAGTAATTGTTTAAATTTCAAGTTTAATCTGGAAGAGAGGTAGAAAAGATTTTCACCTAGCAGTCAGTGTTCTCGGTTTTCACGCTGCAGAAATATAGTAGTAGTAATTAAAAGCGGGGATGGAGGGTGGAAGAGCAAAAGAAGAGGAACATGATGGCGTTTCCGTACATTCTCCTTGCAAAGCTCCGCCGTCCTCCGCCTCTTCGCTTCCTAAGGTCTCTTTCTATTTCTCTCGCTTTCCTCGGCGTTCGTCTTCTCTCCGTTTTGCACAATTATTTATACAGTTTCCGTTTCTTTTTTTGTTGATATAATAGGAGCAACATGAGGTAGAATTGGAGCTGAGGCTATTGGAAGCACTTGAAATCTATCCTCCTGTCAAATTACGAGGTACGTTTATGATCTCTTTTAACAGTTTTTGTAAAGAGAAATACGTTTTTATTTCAGTTTAGATATTGATTCTTAGGAATTAACTTGAAGAGAAAGAGAATTATTTTTTTCTGGACTCTAAAAGTAATATATTATTGGAACTTTTTGTTTATAATTAGGTTGTATGCTAGTGATATGATCAATTCAAATGTTGATCGACTTGATTCCCTTGATTTTGCTTACTGCTGTGGTGAAATGGTTAAGGTATATCGAAAACCTTTAGTAAATATGTGTTTTTTGCTGGTCTTGGCAGCCAAAATGCTAGCTTTATATTGTGTATTTGTTTTGGTAGTTTTAGAATCTAAAGGTGCGTGTCATGTTTAATGCTTATGGATCAATGTTATGTTTTTTTATTGATACATTGCCTATGAAATTACCCAGACCCCCCATCCCCCAAAAGCCCTAAATCGAAGGATAATACGCACTTAAGCGGACTTGGATCACTAGAGTTAGTTCAATTGTTCAAATGACTTATATATGGTAAAGAAATTGGTGCATCTAGCAGTTCATGCACATGTTTATGGTAAAACAACTAGGATTGGTTTGGTCTTTAACTGTCTACATGAATGCATAACTTCAAATCAAATTTGCTTTCCCACAGGCGTGCATCGTCACTTTGTTCTCTATGGACTAATGGAGTTCCTGCAGAAAAGGTTTGTTTTGCCTCCTGTTTTTTGTGCTCCGTATTGATCCCCTATTCCAGTCTAAGTTATGGTGAGTCGTTCTTATTTTACTGTATTTCATATTCTCTTTCTGGTTTGCTAAATTTTGTCGCAGCCTTGACCGTCATTTTTCTCCGGATGAGGTTTTACAGTTGCTAGATCGTTTCTACAACTTGGAAGTGTTGGTAATTACTTGTTCGATAATTTATATTCACTTCCATTTATTTCTTTGATATTCCATTGAAGTTGAGGTATTGCATTGATTACTGTCTTGGATGATGTTTTCATGTCTGTATAAATTGACAAAATACATAGTTCCAATGCTTTTTTGCAATTCTAGTCTGGCTCACATGGTGATAATGGATGGAAACAGAAAAAAAGTTGTTGCAAATGATTCTTCTTTTATGCTTTCCAAGAAAACAAAGGATTTAATTGTTTTTTTAGATCCCTCTTTAGTTTTGAAGCTAGACAAATTAAGTCTTTCCCCTTAATTTTTTAGATTCAATTGCTTTTTAGGTCCTCTTAGTTTTGAAACTAGGTGAAGTAGACCCTAGCCCCCATTTTCTGGGTCCGCTCTTCGTTTTTAAACTAGGCATATTAAGACTTGGCCAACCATTTTTTGGTTCAAATACCTTTTAGATTCCTATTTATATTTGCCCCCCCCCCCCAACAAAAAAAAGTTTCATCCCGGCTCCGTCCTTGCTACCCATCTTCATTTTTTAAGTACCCTTTGAAATGTATCGGCATATATGATCATCGAAATATATATACAACTTAGAAAAAATTGAGTACGCCTATGTAAAGGAAAGTACGTCCTCAAAAATTGGAATGCTAATTAATACCTTTCTAACGCAAAAAACCGTAAACTATAAATGATGCTACGTCTTTTGGTTATCTTGAAAGGTAGTAGTTAATGCTAAGCTGATTTGTTCTTTTGTAAATTTCAGAAACCAGATGATGAAGAGATTGATACCCTAAATCATGAGGAAGATTTTTGCTTGCCACAAAGCTATTTTGTCAAGGAAGAACCCTAAATTCATGTTGGGGGATTTGGGGGAGGGGGTTCCATATATTTGCACTAGACTTGGTTTCTACTTCTGATCTGATGATTTCTTACTGTGGTAATATTCCTTGATCATATTGCACGGTATTACCGTAAAAATTAGGTTGCAATTTTGATGGAAAGTAATTAGTTTGGCTCCACCATCTTTTGACAGCTTCTTGTTCCTTTAGAATGTCCATTTCTAAATAAAATATTTATACAAAATCTAGACTTATTACTATTATTGCTATTTTTTTTACCGAAAACTAGATTTGCAAATTGCAATGATGGATATTTATCTTTTGTGAAGATTAATTTAAACCATTTTTTAAAAGGATAAAGTACACAAATGGTCCCTTGACTATAGCATACTATTTAATTGAGTCTCTTGACTATTAAAAGTTACAAAATGACCCTTTGACTATATAGTGTTACTTTGTTGAGTCCCTCGACCATTAAAAGTTACAAAATGGTCCAGTATTCTAAGTTGAATATTAACCTATTGATTGTGATATGATAAAATGTAATCCCAGAATCTCAAAGGACTATCATATCTCATCTCATGTTAATATCCAGCTTAGACAACCGTCAACTTTTTAACAATAAAAGATGAATTTGGAACATAACGAATAGTCAAATGATTATTTTGTAACTTTTAATAATTGAAGGACTTAATAAAGCAACATTCTATAGTTTGAGGATCATTTTATAACTTCTGATAGTCGAAAGACTTAATAAAATAGCATCCTATAGTCGATGGACTATTTGTATACTTTACCCTTTTTAAAATGTGTCCTTTTACTGTTATTTTTAATTTGATTCGATCGAATATTCGCTATTATTTATAAGTTATAATATAATATAAAATATAACCAAAAAGAAAGGGGAAAACAATATAATAACAAAAAATAACAAAAATGTTCCATAATTTCAACAGGTAACTTCATATTAGAGAACATTAAATCAAAGCAAAAAGGCAAAGAAAAATAAAACCGTGAATTAAAAAGAAAAAAAGAAACAAGAAAAACATGGTTTGAACCAACTGATCAAATTTCATTGTCTGGTTTTTGGTAGTCCTGCAAATGATCGTTTAGCATTGTAATAAAATGGGCCAAACCGGTTGATCAAATCATCTTGTAAGAGCGGTTCATAGGAAGCCAATTTAGGCACAGAGCATTTGAAAACACATTGACTCAAGCTCCCAGATTCTCTTCATCAATTTTTCTGGGGAAAAAATTGAAACATTGTAATTGAGTTTGTAAAATATCAGTATTTTATCGATGTTGGGCTGATGAGAGAGCCTAATTAGAACAAATTCGATACTTTTTGGACTCGATTAACATGTTTTGAAGTTCAAGGATTATTTTAAAATTGAGTCATAATTTGAGGGCGTCTAGTGCAATTAAACCGTAAAACTAGAATAGAATGAGCCCTTACCTCGGCTTTCGCCTCGGATTTGGCTGCTGTGGATTTACCATCCTCTCCTTTTACGCCGTCTTCACCTGCATCAAATTCATGTACACGTCTAAGACAATGCTTACCGAAGTTAGAGATCATTCTACATAACATAATCATTCATGTTCAGATAAAACGAGACAAGACGAAGTTTTATTTTGAAATTCGAGATGAATTTAAGATGATTATAACAATTTCTAACACCGTAAAAGATCAAATTTGTTAATTATCGGGTCAAAGTTAAATTGATCGAAAATCCGATCCGTTTTATCTCATGAACATCCCCATATGTTCTTACTTGAATGTCATGTGAGTATGTATCTAACGAAATTTACCAAAATTTTTCAGGTCAATCAGAAGCTATCCATAACTAGATGATACCTCCATCTTCAGGCAAATCAGAAGTCCAGAGAGTGAGGTTATCTCTGAGAAGCTGCATAATTAGGGTGCTATCCTTATACGACTCCTCACTCAAAGTATCCAATTCCGAAATTGCTTCATCAAAAGCCTGCTTTGCCAAATGACATGCCCTGCAATTTCCCCAAACCATAATCACCAAATGGTTCAATTCAGCCAAGTAAGTACATAAGACATGACGGATATAGGATTTTATTTTAGGTGGGGATGAACTTGAACTTATAAAATTTTAGGGGTGAACTTAAATTTATAAAATTTATAATGGTAGGGGGAAGAAAATAGATTTTCAATAAAAAAATACATAAAAAATCTAAAATATATAGTAAATTTAAATTTCAAGGGCTGCCATCCACTCGTGCCACTAAGTCCATCTCTGATAACAGAGCAAGAGCTCATACCTCTCAGGTGAATTCATTATCTCATAGTAAAACACAGAGAAGTTGAGGGCCAGGCCGAGCCGAATCGGATGAGTCGACGGTAGATCAGTGTTTGCAGCAGTAGAAGCAGCCTAAAATGCACAAATTCAGGTCTCTGTAGTTATTAGTTAAACATGATCAAATTATGAAACTCACCTCATACCCTTCAATGACTGCTCAGCCGCTTCTTTCCTCTCTTGATCCGTCTTGAACTCAGCCAAATACCGGTAGTAATCGCCTTTCCTGGACGAATCGGAATATCGAATTGGGTTTTGAAATGTATTATCATCGATTGAGAGATCGAAGGGAATCGGAAGTCTAAACTTACATCTTGTAGTAAAAAACAGTGGCTTCGCCGGATGAAGAAGAAGGGACGAGGTGCTTATCGATGACGCTCAAAATGTCGGTGCAGATGTCGGAAAGCTCTTCTTCTACCTTCCGACGGTACCCTTTGATCAGCTTGACGTTCTCTTCGTTTCCCTTGGATTCCTCTTTCTGCTCGATCGAAGACATGATCCGCCATGAAGCTCTCCGTGCTCCGATCACGTTCTTGTATCCCACCGAGAGCAGGTTCCTTTCTTCCACCGTGAGATCGCAGTTCAGTTTCGCCACTTTTTTCATGCTCTCCACCATTTCTACCAGAAGAGAAACAAAAACCCATCGAACTTGAATCGTCAGCTTATACAATCTCAAATTAAGAACCTATCATTGTTATTAACTTATTTATGGATTGTTTGATTACCTTCGTAACGTTCGGCTTGTTCGGCGAGTTTGGCCAAGTAAACATGGGTTTCTCGCTCTTTCTCGGAAGCGGACATTGTGGATATGGAGATTGAAGAAGAGTGTTCTTCAAGCGAATGGAAAGGGAAATGGCGGAATGGCAGTGAGGGAAGGAGGAAGATGACATCTTATAGAAGGAAGGAGCAAAGCTTAGGGGAGGCTTTCAATGGTGGAGCGCGCCATTCGTTGTTTTATTTTATTATTCTTTTTGGACTTGTTCATTTCCTTTCTATTCGGATTCCAATTATACTTTTCTTTTAGGGTAAAGAACGCAAATGGTAAACCGACTATACGATATTGTTTTATTAAGTTCATCAACTATTAAAAATTATAAAATTATCATTCGATTATAGAATGTTGCTTTCTTGAGTCTATCAACTATTAAAATTTATAAAATTATCATTTGACTATTTATTATGTTCAAAACTCATCATTTTTCGTTAAAAACAGATCATATTCTGAGTTGAGCTTTAACTTGTTGAGTGTGATATGATAAAATTTGATCTCAAAATCTCAAACGACAATCATACATCATGTTAACGTTCAACTTAAACAACCACCAACTTTTTAACAGGAAATGACGAATCTAAAACATAATGAATAGTTTGATGACCATTTTTGTAATTTTTAATAGTCAAATGATTTAATAAAGTAATATCCTATAGTCGAGGGACCATTTGCATTCTTTATCCTATTACTTTTTAATAAAGTTTAGGGTAAACTACGCATTTAGTACCTAAACTATCAACTTTTTTTTAATCTATTTTAGTACTAAAACTTTCAAATTTTTTTCAAAATCATACATGATGTTTAGTTTTTGTTTCATTTTAGTATCCCGTCATTAAAAACTTAACGTGTTTAGTACACAAACTATCAATTTCGGTCCATTTTAGTACCTAAACTTTCAATTGTTTTCAAAACTTAACGTTACATTTTAAATGGGCACTACGATGAAACAAAAACTAAACTTTAGGTATGATTTTTAAAACAATTAAAAGTTTAAATATTAAAACGGATCAAAATTGATAGTTAAGATATTAAATACATAATTTATCCTAAAATTGAACCAAACGCTTTTTAGGGGAGGAATATGAGAAATGCTCACATGCGGCAGCCTTAATATACAGTTAAAAAAAGGCGTTACTGGTTTTGTTATTGTTTAAATAACAAAACCGGTAAAAAAATGACTGGAAATATTATTCAGCGCTAAAAAATGATCGGAAATATTAAAAAAAAATGATATTTTAGGTAAAAAATAATAATATTACCGGTAATTTTTTTACCGATTTTATTATTTAAACAATAAAAAAACCGATAACACCTTATTTTAGCCTTATATTAAGGTGTTGGAAATTCCCAGAGGAATATGCATGTTTCTTGTTACTTAAAATGTCTTATGTTATATCTTAAACTTTATTGGATAAACTAATTATTTAGTATATCATTGTTTCTCCTATAATTTTTTTTAAGTTTTACTCTCTTAAAATTTCGTTCCTTAACATAAAATCATACGTCCGTCATTAAACACGATAACAAAAAAATTCATAAAATGGTTTTTTATCAAAAGATTATATGATAAATTGAGATTTGAGCGAACTTATTGAACTATTTAGTAGCAAAAGGGTGTACATATATTGATATTTTCTCGAAAAGTTTTTTATTTGAACAGTTATGTTTATCGGGTGTGTAAGCATTATTAATGATAAAGAAAAATTTTAAACATATATTACCTTATAATTATCTTAAACTATTAAAAAATTAATATTATACGATATATGATAAGCAGACTATATAACAAAGAAAAGAAACAAAAAACTCGTAACTAACACCAAGAGGGAGACCAGGAAAAAAAATATGTGGATCAATGAAATGCTACAAATACCTTGACAGAGAAGAAAACGAACCGCAGCTACCTTTGCAGCAAACCTCGTTCTAAGCTAATCTACAATCTCCTCCGCCATGCCCCTCCTTCGGCCGATTATATCGAACCACTTGAAACTCCGGTGCATAGCTCATGTTGCGATGCCGCCGATTGTTTGTCCTCTGCCAAAGACAATCCAGTTCGAATACGAGAGATTTTATGTAGGCTCGCAGACACG